AGAGTTCCCTGTGTTATACAGTGGGTCCTTGCTGTTTTTCTATTTTAAATAAAGCAGCGTGTGCATGTTGATGACCGACTCCCTACCTAGCCCTTCCCTGCCTCTTTTCACATTTTTGTTACTGTCCTTTGAAATACTGGCATTTTTTATTTTAATAAAACCCAACTTAGTTTTTCTTTCATTGTTTTTGTTTTGATGTCCTGTTTAAGAAGGCATTATTTAATCTATGGTGACAAAGGTTTACTCCTATGTTTTCTTCTAAGAATTTTACAGTTTAAATATTATATTTAGGTCTATGATTCGTTTTGAGTTAATTTTTGTAAATGGTATTAAGGTCTAATTTAACTCTTTATGCATATGGATAGCCTTTCTGGTGTTTTAAATATTCCGATATTAGAAACATGTTCCTTAAGAGCTTGTGACGTGTGTTATACATCTACAGATATGTCTCCATGCCCTGCACTGTGCTAAGCACACAGTTAGCCACCTTGTTTGTATGTGTGTGTGTGAACAGTTCATATTTCTGTCAGAGGCAGAACATTTCACAAGATGACGTGATGTTCAAAAACTGTCTTCTAAGGATCAACTAGCATGATTTTCTACCAAACAGCTTTCTGTAATCTAGAGCAGTAAATACAAGAGTGTATTTCTTTCCCCTTGAAGTAGAGATTTCAGTGTTATCTCAGAGGCTTTCTTTAGGTCTGTGTCAAAACAGCCCCACCCTGAAGCAAGTCTTCCTTGTCGCTCATTTTGCCAGACTTTTCCTTACTCTCCACCTTGAATACCACTTCTATCAAAAAAGTGGCCCCTGCAACCTTCCTTCCCATTCTTAGTTCACACTCCATGCCCCTTGATTTCTACCTCCTTAGTAGCTTTCACAGGGAGCTCCATTTTTGGTAATCCCTGAGACAAACAGAGAATTCTGCTCACCTGGTATTTGACAGGAACAATTCATTACATTTTATCTTGCTGGCCTCAAATGGCATTTTTAAGCGCATTTAAAAATACTTCTACACATTTATACTCACACAAACCTTCCCTTATATTCTCCTATCCCCCAACCTCTCTGTATTTCAAACTCAGTGGTTATATTTGCTACGAACCTTTAAAGACTGTAAAGCACAGTTTAAGTGGGCTCAGAGAAAAAGCTGAAGTCAACCTGCGGACTACCAAGCCGGAGGGCTGCATCTGACGGCAGATCTGTGAGGTATCATTTGGTCTAAACCTAAGCCCAGTGCTCGGTACCTTATTTGGATATTGCTGCTTTCAATGCTTGAGCTGTTCTTCCAAACACTGGAGTTCTCGGCTACTTTTCAGTATGATGTAAGTACCACAAGTATTGCATTGTCTTAGAGGTTCTAGTAGGGCATTTCAGTTAAGATTCCACATCTGAACACACTGGGAAACGTTAGGTGGAAGTAAACATTTAAGAAATGTTATTTGAAAGTCTCACTCAATAATCGAGAAAAAAAATCCCCAGTTTCAGAGATTCAAGTCTGACTCCTCTTTAATCTTCAAAGCAAGCAACAGCTTGAAACACTCACAAAGAGGGCCTACAGGGACCAGCTGCACCCAACTCAGCCTAACTATTCCTCTAATAGTTCTTGTAGGGGGTCACTGCCTACCCTGTGCTTCCAGTTGGCTAGAACACCAACTGCTGATTATCTGAGGCTAGTAAAGTCGCTTGTAAAGCTATAATTAAGCTGTTTCAAATGCTAAGAAACAGGACTGATATTTGCAATATTAACACCCCACTCCCAGCTCCCCATCCTAAAGCAGGAAACATTCACAGAAGTCAGAAGCAGTCAGAGTAGTAGGCATTGTAGTGGGAGGTTGTTCAGAAAGTAACTCACTGGAGAGTTAGAAAAAGAGAACTAGAATGTGAGCATTGACAGTTTCTGAGACACAACAGTTGGCTTAGACAAATCTGTCTGAAGGAAAGGGAATATTCAGAAAGGACATGGATATTTTTGGTTCTACAAAGGCATGTTTAAGAAGTCACAGTCATTCAGAGCCTGCTGGAGCACTTGCAAAAGTTGTTGAGGTACAACTCTCAGCCTCATCCCTGGCTCTATTTTAAGTCTCTAATCCTCCACTTCCCACATTTTTTCCTTGTTTTGTGCCCTTTATAATGTATGCTATCTCATAGTTTGCACATCATTATATAATGCCGTAAATCTTTGGAGGATAAGGTGTAGAAATAAGAACATACATTTCAAAGCCAGGATTTCCCCCCAAAATGAAATATCTGCAAGGGGCAGACAGAGTGTTTCCTAGCCTTTTGAGTTGATTTGATCCTAGCATGTCTTTCATTTTCTTTGTGCCAAGGTATTTGTAAATTTGTGGGCAAGACAAAGAACTTGAAGTCCCTGCTCTCAGAGAACTCATGTCTTATTTGGGGATATTTGAAAACACAAAAGGAAACCTCTGAAGGTCCTGTCCAGGTGTCCAGCATCTGCTCTATCAGCTGTGTCTATCACTGTGAAGGTAATGGCATGCCCAGAGAAATTGAGATGCTGGATGTAATTAAAGGTGGTGACAGACAAGTCCTGAATGCAAAGCTTTGGAATTTTTAGAAAATAAAAAATAGAGAGGCAAAAAAAACCTCCCTTGATTTTAACACCCAGATAGCTTGTTAACAATTTGGTGTATTTCCTTTCACTCTTTTTTCTCTTAATAATTAGAACTAGACATGCTTGATTTTTTTACAGCTGCACGTACAGTTCTGTACAGTTTTTTTCTTTACCCTAACAAGTTACTATTTTATTAAAAACATTTTCCTATTATATTTGCAACACCATAATTTACATAAACTCCTCTCTGGACGTTCATACTGCTTCCAAGTGAACTATTTAGAACCTCCATGAGAAGAAATGATTGGAGGCTGGAGAGCCTACAGACTCCGAGGCATCAATTTCTCCATGATGACTAGCTGAAAATACTGTAGTGGTTTTCCCTATTTTTGGTGCCAAACCTCTGGCATCTGACTAAACTTCGCTGCTTTTCTTTTACTTTTTTATGGGTCCCACCCCTTTCTTGAGGCCTCTAACCTCGTTTCCCAATAGTGTTGCTGAACACAGGATTATTTGCCTAGGGTGGGAGTGCGGGTGTCCTCTTTGAAGAGTCTGACAGAGTTCAAGAAGACTTGGAGCCTTTTAAAACTGAGGGTCTTATGGGATCTGGGATATCTTATCTGCGTCTTCCGGACCTAAATTCGTCGAGCCCTGTATTTGCCAGCGAGGCAGTTTTCCAATCGCCGTTTTTGACTGGAGCCCTCTCGGTTGAGTGCGACAGTAAAAGGGGGAAGTGGAAGTGAAGTGAGAAGCTGGAGGACCGTTCTCCATCACTGGTCAGTCTCAACAGGTAACATTCTTTAGTTCTTCCCGTACCTGCTGGCACCGGTTCAGAGCTTTTAAAATTCCTTCAAGGTGTGGCTGAGGGTGGGGTAGAGGATGTCCAGCCATCTAAATAACTTAGTAGACTGGGATTGCTAAAATGCAAATAAAAATGCACAAATACGTACACAGAGTCGAAAAGGCTGGAGAAGAGAGTTTCCGAATAAACCTCACTGCCCTGATTCCTCCCCCCTCTAACTACAGCATCGTGGACCTAAATGACTCACTTCTGGTTGGAGCTTCCGAAGGGGTTAAGAGCGCAAGTAAACTCTGGAGAGTCCGGTAGGAGTTGCTGATTGTGCCGGACACTGCTTGCAAAGCAATTTTGCGGTTCCCCTCTCTCCGCTTTTTCTCATTCTTTTGTTGGATGTTCGCGAAGTTGGCTTGGGCATTTACTTTTTAAAAAGTTTTTACGTCCCCAACCCCCTGTCTCCAGCTCCCGGAGTGCGGCACTTCTCACCGCCCCGAGACTTCTGGGCTCGCTCCAGCCGTGGGGAGGGGGCGAGGGCACTTTGTTCACCGAAAACGACCTTGCCCTGGGAATTTCCTGTGGCCATTTCTCACGGACGAGCCCCCTCCTCCGGCTGGAAGCACCGACACCCACCACTGCATGCCCTCCCGGAGCCGGAGACGCGAGCGTGGAACGGAGCGCCCGGCGCCCTCCCGCACCCGGGTGGGAGGCAGCCGCGCTCCCCGGGCTCCCCCTCCTCAGGTCCCGCCGCCGAGATCCCGGATGTTGGATTCAATCCCTACGCCGGGTCCTTCATTTCCATAAAAGGGCAGCGACTCGGCGGGGCCGAGATTGCTGCCGCCGCGGGCGCCCCCGCCTCCCCCGCACAGCTCGCCTCCCCGCCGCGCGCCACCCCTCCCCAGCCCGGGAGTTCGCGCGGCCTCGGCCCCGAGTGCGGCGGCGGGGGACGGCGCGGGAGGGGCGAGGCGGCCGGACCCGCGGAGGGCGGCTCGGCGGGGCGGGGAGGAGGGAGCTGGTCTGGCACTGAGGGGGCGGGGAGAGAGGGGTGGAGCGCGGAGGGAGAGGCGAGGGGCAGCGACGGCCGGACTCCATTAGTCGCTCGGGCCGGGACGCCGCGTTTCGCCGGCAGAGAAGGGGACCCCACACCACCGCCGCTGCAGGGCGAGCCCCCGCTCCGTGCCTGTTGCCGCTCCAGCCCGGGCCCGGAGCGCAAGAAGCGCGCGGTGAGGGCCCGGGCCCGGCAGGGACTGAGGGGGAGCGCGGGCGGGAAGGAGGACCGTGGAGCCCGCGGACGGCCTCTCCTGGGCCTGGGTGCGGCCGGCAGGCGGGCAGGTGAAGCCTGCCGCGGTCCGCTAGGCGAGGGCCGCTAGGCTGGGGCCGCGCGGGGCGGCGGTGCCGTGTGAGCCGAGAGCCGCCGCGGGGCGGGTGCCGGGGTGGCCGCGGGAGGGGGCGCGGGGCGCAGAGTCCTGCCGGCAGCTGGCCTCGCCGCCGGCTCTCCCGAGTTCATGCGGAAACCCTTGCCTTCTCCGCCTTCTCTCACCCGCGGCTGACTCTGCGAGTTCGGTGGGATTTGCTTTCCTTTGGGGGAGTGACGCTGACGAGAGCCATTTCCTCCGTGTTCGCAGGAAGGAGCCATGGCTCTGGACGGGATAAGGATGCCAGATGGCTGCTATGCGGATGGGACGTGGGAACTGAGCGTTCATGTGACGGACCTGAACCGCGATGTCACCCTGAGAGTGACTGGGGAGGTGCACATTGGAGGGGTGATGCTCAAATTGGTGGAAAAACTCGGTGAGTAGCATCCCGGCCGCGTCAAAGTAAAGACTTCCCAGACTGGGCGCGCGAGTGGGGAGGGGGGGACTTAAGGCGAGAGGAGGGGTGAATTTTGGAAGTCTTGCTTGGCATCCCGCAAATGCCTTTTTTTTCTTCTTCTTCTTAATGTAAGATCCCTTAATAGTTAAACAAATAGACTTTTCCCCTTTGCCTCTTTTTTGTAGTTACTCTTTGAAATTTTAATAATTTGGTGATTCCAGTCTCCTAACTAGTACTCTTAATTGCGTAGGAAATAGAGAAAACTCCTTAATTCTTAAAGGAAGTGAGAAGAGTGCGCAAGTGAAGGTTGAGAGGGTTATATTACAGGGATTGTGGTTATCAGTTCCTTACCTTCAGTGTACCTGAATGTTGGTGACGTTTGATATTGAAGATGATGCAAAATCTATTTAAAATTAAATTCTGTTGGAAAATGTTCAACTTCTGGTGTTAATATGAAAGTTTTGTAGCTGTGCTACTACGTGATGGAGTATATTAAAATGTTCCAGTCATCCACTCTTAGAAGGGGTGGGGCAGTGTTTGACTGTCTATAATAGTCCGTGCTTTTAAGTTATTTCTAGCGTTGGATTTTATGTGAATGACAAGGTAGTGAAAGAATTTTTAAAAGCAGATATTATTGACTGGAGATTGGCAATATTTGTTTAGATACAAATAATATTGATTTAATACTGTTAAGTTGATTGATTTTAAAACTGATTCAGTCTTACTAGCATATCCAACAATGTGAAGTGTAAGAAAATTTTTTAGTACGCATTTGTGATGGCTGAAACCATTTTCAGCTGGGAGAATCAAATAAAACGATTCAATAGATGCTTTTATTACAAGAGAAATGCTTGGAGGACTGTTCCTGAGTTTTAATGTGTCATTTGTTTGTAGTACAAGTTCTGATAAGTGTGTAGCATTATCTTTTTAGGCTTTGTGTGTGTGTCTTTTTAAAACACAGCATTCCTTCTTCAGGCCACTCTGGAAAAGTAGAAAAATGGTTATTTATCAGGAAATGTATTTTTTACCAAGGATTAGTGTATACCTACCGTATAAACTTAACGAAATTGTGCCCCAATGTAATTGCAGTATAAGACAGCATTCATTTAGGTGGACCTTTTTTGGTTCAGTGCAGGGAGTTTAATTATTGAAAGACCATAAAGAAGCTCCTTAGAGGGTAGCCTCCTTAGGAATGTGCATTGTTTGGCTCTCTGAGACTTAGCCCGGGAGGGAGTCCCCCTGCTTTTTAGCCCTTTCAAAATGAGATTCTGCTGTGTGTGTACCTACAGAACTGTGAGTTATCTTTGTTCTTATCTGATTTGACTAAGTCAGTCACTGTGCAAAATATTTCTGAGTCTGTTTTGTCCTAGTAAGGGATTGTTTAAGGAAGAAAATATCAAATTGTGTTTCCTTTGTCTTCAAAGGGAGTAAGCATTTTCTTCAGAGATTGCTTTATGTATGACAGATGGGCCCTATTAATAGACTGGTTTCAATAAGAGATATTGTGAAAAAGGAGCTGTTGAAGGTGACTGAGACAACTTGTAGTTCTTGAAAGCCAGGCTTTATCTAATGAATAAATAATGACTGTGTTGCATTGATTGGAGCTGTTTATTATAGAATCACAGGCATAAATAGAAATACAGAGAATAAACTATTTGCAGACAGAACTGATGTTAATTTGCAGTGACTATAATGTTAATCTTTTAATGTTGATATATTTAAAATTTTTTTATGCCGTGAAAAGAAACCCAGTAAGGTAGGAAATGTGTACATGAAAGCCTTACATCTTTCTTGAACTGAAAAATATTGATCCTCTTAGATTTTGATTTTCAAATAGAAAATGGTCTTTAGCGTAATTATGACTTTCCCCTTTGGTAAAAGGGCTTAATGAGTTTTTGCTCCTGGTTTTAGGATTAGATACTTTGAATGGCAAGATGTTTTGTTACATGTTGGGAAGTAAATAGAGGAGAAATTCTGGATGGCATTTTGATTTACAAATCAGGCTCGTCAGATTAGAAAAGAACTTTTTAGTTCTTCAGAGTTGCCTAAAACTGGAATGGCCTACCTTCTGAAGCCCTAAGTTGTGTTACTAAAGGTATTGGGCAGACTGGATGGTTACTTGTCAATAGCTGAAGTGGATCAAAGAAGCTTGCAGAGAGTCTAGATGAAAAGAGGTGGAGGTCATGGCACAGATCAGATGATACAGGGTCTCATGTCTGAGGGGGTTGTAGAGCAGGGATGGAGAATTTGCAGAACCAGGCTGCTCTGCACTCGGAACAGATGTGGTACCGCAGAGTAGCCTTCACCTATGTCTTCAAACTCCACATGCCTGTTTGATACCCTTCTTATTTTCATCATAGTGTGTATGAATGAATACCAGAGCATTAGGTTTTAAGGCTGTCTTCCATATAATTAGGGATAGCAGTTATTTCTCTGGGATTGGGAGATTTTATGATGACTCCTTCCTTCAACATTGTGTTAAAATTTTGTGTGTATGTGCAAGTATGAGATTTTCTGCGAAGAGTCTTTTTAGCTTTCATTAGGTTTTTGAAGAGGTCTATGATGAAACAAAGATTTGGCCCTTGAAGGTCAGCCTTATTTTGAAGGTACAGTGTTCTTCCCAGACTCAGGCACTTTACTGAAGCAAGCTGAAAAAGTAAATAATGCTTCCAGCAACATCTTTATATTTAGAATTTTATAAAGAACGAGTGTGCTTCAGGTAAGATCATTCAACCATGATTCTTAGATTTATGACTTTAATTCAGAGATCTACACGATCCTTTTTAAATTTTAGTACACAAGATATTTGTTATTCTGTGCAGATCTTTTAAAAGAAAATAGAGTGTACACCATGAAAAAGTGGGCTTTAGAGAATTATATCCTGGTGTCACAGAAGCTTCTTGCATCTGTGACTTTAGGTTGATACTAGACAAGTAATCTCCATGTCAATCTTCCCAATGTTTATACCCCATTCTGAAAATGAAAAGTTATTACACTTGATATTTTTAATACAGATTGAAAGCTTTAAAAAGAATTTTTAAAACTTACTGTAATTTTTGTTGAAAACAATTTTCAAAGCTAATAGTTTTTTTTTAAGAAAAGAGTTATAAAATATCAAGGTTAAGGATTATAAAAATAAGACACAAGAGAATAAAATTATAAAAATAGTTGTATTTAAAAATACATGTTTCAGGTAAGGAGGAGGCTCAGTTTTATGGGATTACCTGATGTTGCTTTGGCAATCACCAAAAAGTATTAAAACTGTTCTACTCTATAGGATTCAGAGCTTAGTAAGTATTGAGGATTCAAAAATGCCAAAAGATGCTTTGTGTCATTGCATAGCAAAAGGCTTCTGTTTCTGGATGTAGCCTTTGGAAACAAGTCATCCTCACTTTATCATGTATCGTGTTCTTGCTATAATAATGAAATAGAATATATTTATGTTGGAGTTGTGTGTTAGGATTAAGTTAAACTGTGAATGTAGCACACATGATGCCCCATCCCCCAAAGATTTTGGTTCAGATTACCTTAAAAATCCCTTAAAGTGATAGATAAGTGATCATGAAGTATGGTTTCCATTCATTCATTTCATCTCATAGAAGTATAAAATAGCTAGTTTTTCCTTCAGAAATTCAAAAAATAAATTTCTTTAGCTAGAGCACAGATGAAGAAATTGGCTTGCATTTGGGGCTTTGTTACACAAAAATACTTTTAAATACTAGGATCAGAGCTTGGTTAGATGCACACAGGGAGAAATGCTTGTTACTGGACAGCTCCCTTATATTGCTTAGTGCTTCTTGGGTAGGGCATGCTTATTTAGTGAAATGGTGTCTATGTTGTTGAAATCCTCAGATTTTTTTCCTGCGAGGGCTTATGATTGGATTCATGGAAGTGAAATGTCTTCATGATGCAGCGTCAGTGCATTCATAGTGGACTATATCAAGATAAAAATTTCTGAAAATCTTTTTAAGTGGGCTGGGAGAAGCACTTAATGGTGAAATCATATATATTAGAATGAGTTGAATTTTAGTTAAATATGTACTATCTTAGAGCAAGTTTACTCAGTATTTAGAGTACTCTTAATAATCCATTGGAACTGGACATTGAATTTTATCTGTTTCAGCACATTTGAAGCTCTTTAAAAATAAAGGACAGTATGTGAATTTTACTAAAATTCTCATAGCACGTAATAAAGTTCAAGCTATATTCCTTGGATACATTATGGGTTATTTTCTGCTGTGTTTTATACCCAGTTTTTAAAAAGTCAACAAATACTGTTTGATTCCAAGTAGAGTTAACTTATATTTATGGGCTTCCCTGGTGGCTTAGAGGTTAAAGCATCTGCCTCCAATGCAGGAGACCCAGGTTCGATCCCTGGGTCGGGAAGATCCCCTGGAGAAGGAAATGGCAGCCCACTCCAGTATTCTTGCCTAGAGAATCCCATGGACGGAGAAGCCTGGTAGGCTACAATCCACGGGGTCCCAAAGAGTTGGACAGGACTGAGCGACTTCACTTCTTATAAAGGCACTAAAAAGAATATATCTTTTTTATTCAATTTGTTAGAAAAGATAGTGTTGGAAATGTCTATTAGCTATTAAAAACAGAAAATTTGAAGTTTTGTCTTTTATCTTCAACTCTATTTTTTGTAATTTCAAACTTACAAGTTCAAGAAGGATAACTGAATACTATAATCTTCATTTAGATCATCTGTTAGCATTTTTCATTTGATTTCTCTGTGTACATACACACACACTTTTGGGAACCATTTGAAGAAGTTACACACATCATAACCCTTCATCTCTAAGTACTTAAAATATGTATCACCTAAGAACAAGGACTTTCTCTTTCATATTACATTACAGTTATCAAGTTCAGGAAATTAAACATTGATTCAATACTGTTGTCTAACATGCATCCAGATTCATATTTGGCAGTTGTTCCAGTATTGGCCTTTGTTTTTTCCACCTAAGATCTCATTC